CTGGGGACAATGGGAGGGGGAGTGCCCGGGCACCTCCTCCTACGCCTTTGCCTCCGCCTCCAGCCGCCGCCGCCGCCGCCGCTGCCCTGGCTGCCTCCTCCTAGAGGTATTGTTGCAAATCCTCCTTCCTTCCCCCCACCCTCCGCCCGCGGGCGCCTCGGGAACCCCCGGCCTCCCCTGGCGCGAGCGCCTCTGGGGTGGCAGGACCGCGGGCGCAGGGTGTGGAGTGTGCACCCTGCCCGGGCCCAAGGGCCCGCGGTGCGGAAGTGCCGGCCGCGCTGCAATCACTGGGGTGCACACCGTTGAAGGGAGACCCCGAGTTTTTGGGGAAGCTCAGGTCGCGGTCTGGGCGGGGTTGGAGCCCTTCCCTGCGTGACCCCAGCCTGGGCCTTTCTGGGCGCCCAGGGGGCGGGGCCACACCCAGCTGCTTAGAGCTTTCGCGGAATCCCAGTTGTCACTGTGGAAGGGGCCTAGGAATCTAGTCATTTCAGCCCCCCCCATTTCACAGTTGGGGCAACTGAGGTCCAGAGAGAAGGAGGGCCTCCTCAGAAGTCAGTCACTAAAGGCCGAACTGGAATTAAAATAAATGGCTCCCAATTCCTAATTTCTTTCTCCAAGCATTTCTCCAGCGTCCACTGTGTGCCAGGCGCCTTGGTGGGTTGTTGGGTCAGAGAGGCAGCCAAGGGCCAGCTCCTGCCCTTAGAGAGCGCTCAGACCACCGAGGGGCCCAACCTGACCCAAGATAGAAAGTGCTGAGTGTTGGGGGAAAGGCGTGGATAACGTCTTCATGGGCTCAGGAAAAGGAGTTTGATTTCCTGGTCCCTGGAGAGGGAACAGAAATGGCCCTTTGGAGGGGCCCGGCGCTTCATGAGGGCCTTTTGAAGGATGGGAGTTTTCTGAAGCCCGCCAGAGACACGCGGGGAGGCCACTTGGGGGGGTGGGAGGTGGGGCTGGGGGAACTGTAGACCAGAGAATACTAAATAAAATGTGGAGAGTAGAGATGAAGCTGTAGAGGTACTGTATTGGGGGCATGGGGTTGGAGGGAGGGGGTACATGAGATGAGTTAATCTGTGGAATTGTGCCTAAGTACTCTGACAGAGCAGTGTCTTTGGGACTTTGGGATGCTAGGGAGACCAGAAGATCTCTCTGGCTTCCCTTCCCAGGAATCACTGCCTTCCAGCCCTCAACACAAAATGCAAAAATTTAGGATCATCTCTGAGTTACTTTCCTAGTACCAGATTTATTTATTTCCAATCCTTTTTCCCTTTCCACTTCCTCCCCCTTTTCTAAATTCTTGCTTTTCAATAAAACTCATTCATACTAAGGTGTCAGTGACTTAATAATGGCTTATGTCTCCCGGAACTTGTGCATTTTAAGAAAGCCTTTAAGTGGAGGGAAGGGAAGGAACTAACGCCCCTCCCCCCCTCTCCAATCCTTACTGTCCCTCACTCTTACAGATGGGGAAACAAAAAGGCTCAGAGAAGGTTTTACCATGTTACCTGGCATCTTCTATCGCCCTGTCCACTTTCCATTAAATGCAGCAAATTTCTGGGTTAAGGGGGCTTCCCAGTTCCTTTGAGTTACACTCTGCCCTTACCCAAAAACCCATCATCATTCCAGCATCTTAAACCATAGTTCTGAAATCCAATCCAATCTGACCATCCCCCCCCAACCATCCCAGTTCCCCAAAAAGGCTCAGAGAAGGTGGGTGCTACAGTGAATAATGGTGGATGGTGGAGGGGGGCAGAATTTCCAATAGGGTTCACTCTACCTCATGACCAGTGTTTCTCCCTTCAGGGTTCCTGCCAGTCCTGGGGACCGTTAAAAGGAAGAGTGTGTGTCTTGCATTTAATCTTTGCAAGACAGTCGCTCAACTCCAGTGTCCAGGCCTTTATAGTCTGGAATGTAGACTCTAGATGGGAGATAAGTAGTAGGGGTTCAGTCTTGGGACCCTTGGGTCCCCCAGGGTCATGCTCCCTATAAACAGCTGGCTGGCCTAGAGTTGGCTTTGGGGATGATGGGTAGAGGGAGGAGAATGTGAGCTGCTGAGTGGGTTCCTACGGCTCGTACTGATTAGAACTCTTGGCATGACATTTTCTGGGAGAGATGGTCATCATTCTGCGGGAGGTAGACAGTTCCAAACAATGGTTGGTGGGAAAGGAGGCTTGATTATGAAGGGCCTTAAAAATGCCAGGCTCAGGAGTTTGGCTATGACTTGAAGTCATCATTTGAGGGTTTTGAGCGGGCTGGGACATGATTGAGAGGGGAGGTACTGGCATTGGGAAGCCTGCTGCTGCCCATTTCTAAAGAGGCAATAATTTGGCCTATGAATATTATCAGTGGGTGTTTGCTCACTTACTTGACATGTATTACTGAGAACCTATTATACGCCATTGGCAAATATGAAGATTTTATAGCGTGTGCCTGTATTTTAGAGACAAATAAGTTGTATTTCATCCGTTCTAAGGCACACTTTTTCAAATTTTAATATCACTGAAATTAGGCTGTCTTATAATCACAGATGTGTCATAGTTGAACAATTTTTCATTCTAAGTTGATGATGGTACATGTTACAGTCAATGGTTTAGATTTGATAAAAGTTCTTAATCATACCCTGTATGACTGTACAGTGCTTTGCACTTTAGAAAACACTTTCCTGTCAGATATTCCATTTGAATCTCAAAAATCCCCTGAGAATTGGGCCTGGTGGCACTGTCATCTCCATGGTAACTCTTGCCCAAGGTCACAGCTAATTAGAAATGTGTTCAAAATTACAACCCAGAACTTTGACTCTTGGTATTAATATGTGACTTTACCGTGTTGTGGAACTCACACGGGTTAATGGGGAACTGGAGTGGTTCGGGGGGATAGTCAGATTGGATTTGATTTCAAAACTATGATTTAAGATACTGGAATGATGATGGGTTTTTGTCCAAGGGCAGAGTGTAACTCACAGGGACTGGGAAGCCCCCTTAGCCCAGAAATTTGCTGCATTTAATGGAAAATGGATAGAGCGATAGAAGATGCCAGGTTAACATGGTAAAAGCAGAGGATGGGACACACGGCTGTTTTTAGATAGAGAAGAGCAGTGCAGGAAGCGCACAAGTTCAGGAGAGTCCCTATTTTGAACCATGAACTGGCTGGCCCTGGGACTACAAAGATGAGAGGGACAGGGTCCCTTTCCTTGAGGACCACGTGTGGGCAGCGCGTGTCTTCGCGCGCACCCGCGTGTCCTTGCGCTCGTGCACATACCGTTTTCTGGGTATGTTTCGGCCACTGTGCGCTGAAGAGGCTCCATTTCAAGGAGGCTAGCACAGGGGGAGTGGGGTCTGAAGAGAATCTGGGGGGCTAAGTAGGCGTTGCCCAAGTGGAGGAAGGACAGTAAGAGTATCTGTGAGGCGAATGGAGAAGTAGGGAGCCATCACTCTTGAGGCTGTGTTTTGAATGGCTAATGTGAAGAGGCCTGTGGGAATTGGAGAGAGGGGAGGACTTTTTTTTTCTCCTAAGTAGATTTAACTTTACCTTGTAGGCTATAGGGGCCATTAAACGGTTCCCTAGAGATTCACAAGAGAACAAGCCTGGGCAGAAGCTCTGAAACCATCTCTGGAGATAGGTATTTGGATAGTAATGCAGGAAGCGTAGTAACACATTTAAGTAATTGCTTGAGTGAACCTGAGACTTTGACCTTGGGCAGTAATTAGAGTCTCAGCTCTGTTCATTGGTGGGTGGGAACTTTTCTTGGAACAGGACTTGGAAGGCTGTGCCTTGCTGGAAGACACCGAGGTGAGGAAGGGGAGGTAAAGTTATGCTGTATGTAGGAACCTCCTATCTGGGTGGAAATCCAGGGCTTATAGGTGTGTATGAGACAGAAAACCTGAGGGTGAGGGGAAGGGAGGCAGCAATGGAAGTGTGTTGTGGGTCGGCTCTAGGTTGCCTGGAGGCCTGGAGGAAATGGCCAGTGCATTCCTAATGCAGGTCACAGAAATGAGAAAGGACACAGCTGTATCCTTGAGGCCTTCATCTCTTCTGACTTTCCACAAATAGGGTGAGTGGGTGGCCAGAGGGTTAATGAGATTCATGCTTGGAAGCAGCTAAACCATAGAATTGAGGCTAAAAATTGTTAATATTCCTACTGTTCTTTCTTAATCATAGTAGTAATAATAATATAACTCTGAAAAACTTTTGAGTGCTTGACATGTCCTTTTATAATTCTCATACTGATTTATTAAAGTTGGTTTTGTGATTATCAGTTTCACTTCACAGATGAGGTGATGAGTTTTGTTAAATAAGGTTATACTACTACTAAGTGACACGGCCCAGTTTCCAACCTTTGCCTCATCTATAGGCTCGTCACCACTTTTTTATTTTTTATATTTTGTATATATATATGTCTTTATTAATTTCAGAGAGAGGAAGGGAGAGGGGGAGAGAGAGATAGAAACATCAGTGATGAGAGAATAATTGACTGGCTGCCTCCTGCACGGCCCCTCCTGGGGACTGAGCCCACAACCCAGGCATGTGTCCTGACCAGGAATCAAACCTCGCTCTTCTGGATCGTACATAGTTCGATGTTCAACTCCTGAGCCATGCCAGCTGGGCTTGTCACCACTCTTTTATGTGCCCGCAAAATGAAAAATTTAAATCGACACTGATTTTTAGTGCTCTTCCTTGGAACTTAATTCAGTATACATTTATTGGGCCCTAGCGGGATTATGTGGGTGAGCAGTCTTCTCAGTTCCACATTGGTGCTCCACCATTCTCTCTGTTAAGATACTACCACTCCCTCTACACTTTGGGTGTTTTCTCTTCCCAGATCTAACTGGAGAAGCCAGAGCCTGTCTAGCAAATTTTCCCCC